CCCTGTGCTTGGGAGTCCCTGTCTCAACTAATTCCATTTTTGTTTCATTCTTACTAATTCAAACGTCACTGCCTAGGAAACCTCTCTGGACTTCCTAATCCAGCTAGGTTAAATACCTCTTCTAGCCCCAAGTTCCATATGCAACAACACCGTGACTGGCCACTCTGGGGTCATCAGTCTCCACAATCTATCCAATGTCTGTCACAGGGCCTCCGAGGATTCAGGTTTTGTTGTACGAATAAGCAAGCCATAGCTAGCAGAGCTCATGATCCAATACCCCTGACTCATGACATCCATCCGGAAAAAGAGGGCAAAACATTACCAAACATCATGTGTTTTTCAGGCGCAGCCAGGACTTAACGGGCATCCCTGACACCCAACAACCAGTGGTTGGTGGCCCTACCTGTATCAATGTGGCAGTGTCCCATGGCATGGATAGTATGTTGACTTTCACCTCCATGTTGGCCAAAGAACTTGGAGGCCAGGGCCTTGGCTGCTGAGTAGGTCTCAGGCTGGGCAGGGTCACACACGTTCACCATCTGATTGGCTGTGTACAGGGCCTGGAAGCTGCGCTGGTCGTGCTCCCCCAAGCCCTGTAGCAGGGTTCTGTACTTTAATGCCTTCTTCTCAAGCACTACTACAGAACTAGGCTCCAGCAGGTCCCCCCACTTCTAATCCTTTATTCCCACTGGAGCCCCAACTCAATACCATTCCTGTTTGCACAGGAAAACTCTATTCTGACTATGGACTTCCAGAGTGCCAGTCAACCGACCTAAGAAACAGTCTGCCTGAAACAGGGCTCCAGATGGGGGATGGGGCACTCCAGTACCTTGGCCATGCCTAGCAGCAGCTCCAGGTCCACCAGGAGCTTGTGGACATCACGATGGAACACAGCCAGCCTAGCCTGGGTCAGCTGGAACAACTTCTCAGGGTCAGGGGCTGCAATTATGTTTCCCTTCCCGGCTCCCAGAAGCCCATTGCAGGCTACTTCCACATAGAGAGTCAAGCTGTAAATGTAGAGAGGCAGTCTCAGGCCAATGGACTGGCAGAAGATTCTGGGAGCTTGAGAAGAGGGCAAGTAGGAGGCATTCAGTTGACTCTTCCCCATTTACTTCCAGGATCCACTTCCCAGAGGAACCCATGGGATGTCAGGTGTATTTGTGGGAGGATCATAGTAGAAATAAACACCAGTTCAAATCCATGTCCTCTGAGGAGTGTTCTACTATGGGCAGAGAAGATAGCGGCTAACCTTGGATTCCTATGAGCCACACTGCTGTTTAGCTTCATATATCTGAAGCTGTCTGTGCAAAGCATTCTTTGTTTTAGAGCCCGAAGTGCACAGTAAACAAGTTTCGCTCTTCCAAGGCTGACTTTCAGTCCCAAGCTCCACCAGCCAACATAGTACAGCTAGCTGTTCCTGGAAGCAGCACCCAGGCTCTGCTAGAGCTAAACTCAACGTCATGAGGGAAGCCTTTCTGACTCTTCTCCCAGCCCCTCCTAGTATGGCAATTCCCATATGGAGTTCTCAATGTGTTCTTCCAGAATCTTCAGCAGTTTCATAATTCTATGAATATTTCTGTCTCCCCTTGTTGTCAAGGGCCCTTTACCATATTCCCAGTGTTTGGAAGAATCTGAAACAGTGTACAGTAAAATATGAAATAGCCAGGTGTTGGTGGCGCACGCCTTTAATCCCAGCACTCGGGAGGCAGAGGCAGGTGGATCTCTGTTCAAGCCCAGCCTGGTCTACAAGAGCTAGTTCCAGGACAGCCTCCAAAGCTACAGAGAAACCCTGTCTCGAAAAACCAAAAAAAAAAAAAAAAAAAAAAAAAAAAAAAAAAAAAATACAATAATGTAATCATACATGGTGGCTCATGCCTTTGATCCCAGCACTCAGGAGGCAGAGGCAGGCAGATCTCTGTGCGTTTCAAGACAGCCCTGGTCTACGAGAACTAGTTCCAGGACAGCCTCCAAAGCTACAGAGAAACCCTGTCTCGAAACCCCCCCCCCCCCCAAAAAAAAGAAGCATGTAGATCTATGTGAGTTCAGAACCATCTGAACTACATAGTAGTTCCAGGACAGCCAGGGTTATACAGTGGGACTGTCTCAAACAAAATAATAAAAAAAAAAATCCAATTAAACCAATAATGTCTTAGCTTTTGAAGGTATCATATGAAAAAATATGAAAAAAAATGGAATGTAAAAGGTCTGAGTGCAAAATATCAAACACATATATTCTCAACTAGTAAAAGTTTGCCGAGAGAAATCTTGAGACTATGAATGCTGGGTTGTTAAGCATGGTCATCCCCAGGTGGCAGGATAATAGGAGTGATTTATTTGTGTTCTTTTATATTTATCACAAGGAAATACTATTTTAAGATTTAATTGTTTGTCTGTATAAATGAATGCCACATGCATGCAGGTACCTCAGAATTCAGCTGGAGTCAGGAAAAAAAAAAAAATCAAGCTTCCTATAACCAAAGTATGTGAGGACAAATGTGCTAGGAAGTACTTCTGAGATCACTCCTCCCAGCTTATTAGTCTCCTGAGATTCATTCACTCACCTCCGGGGGTCTCCTTCTTTCAACTTATCAGTCAGGACATAACTGGTCTTTTCACCCTCGTTGGTCAAACCCTGGTAGAGAAAAGAAAGACAGAGCCTGAGGACTTTGGAAAATTCAAAGGAAGTATAAAGCCAAAGGAGGCCAAGCTCCGCTATCCAGTTGCCCAACCCTGAGTCCTCTCTACCAGGAAAGGCTAGGCCAAACTAATCAGGGACACTTGGTAGCAAGTGTCCCACCTACTAATGACCACCACACAGCATATGGTTGCTAGTGTATGGTCTAATGGGAAAGATCTTGGTCAGGGGTTAAGATGCCTGGAGTGATTTCTGATGGCCTTTCTCCTGTGAATACATAAAGGGAAATCCCATTGGAATGAGCCAGATATAGTGATATATGGTCTATAATTCTAGCTACTTGGGAGGTCAATGCCGGAGGCTAACAAGTTCAAGGCTTGAAAACTCAGCAAGACCCTTTCTCAAATTTAATGGGGGGGGGGAGGGGATGAGTGGATTAACAAAGTGGTAAAAACATTTATGAGGTCCTGGGTTCAATTAAAAAAAAAAGTTGAAGGAGTTTGAGACAGATTTGCTCCTCCCCAGTGTTTAGCAAGGTGGGTTCCAGGGAACATCTGTTTAGCCATTGTATGGAGTATAAGGAGACACCCGTAGCCAGCCCTTGGGAGGCGTAGTTATTCGCTCTCGTTATAATGGAGGAAAGATGAATAGGGCTCTGCCTTCTTCTAGGACAATTCTTACCCCATATACTGGAATTTGGAATGGAAGTTGTGTGAACCATAGAAGAAACCTCTATCTTAGGGTTTGTTTTGTTTTGTTTTTTTTTTTGTTTTTTTTTTTTTTCGAGACAGGGTTTCTCTGTGTAGCTTCGGAGCTTGTCCTGGCACTTCTCTGGAGACCAGGCGGGCCTCGAACTCACAGAGATCCGCCTGCCTCTGCCTCCCGAGTGCTGGGATTAAAGGCGTGCACCAACGCCCGGCTTAGTTTTCAATCTATAAATGGACATAAAGTCCTATCACATACTACAAAGGTTAAACCTGTTATGACATTTAACATACAGAAGCAGTTATATATCTGGGGGTGAGATGTAGAGATAAGAGACTCATTACTCTTGGGAAGATAATTTAATGCCTTACTTTATAGTATTCTAGAATGATCTGAAATTTCTCCAGTAAGTATGTACTAAAAACAATAAAAATAGCTTATGAAAACTTGGGGTTTGTAACATTGGCATCCAAATGGCAATTCCCTCAGACCTGAAACATGAAACCACTCTGGAGACCCAGTCATTCAGCTGTGACTTCTCCAAAAATCAGGGCTAATCTGTGGCAGTGTCTGGGTCGGAGGGGTGTACCTCACCTGAACAGGTTCCCCATCACGCCAGACAAGGCTTTCACCATCACTTTGCCAGCAAAGATGAACTTCCTGGCCCACCCATGCTTCGGGAATGACCAGTTCTACCCGGAACCAGCAGGTCCACCATCTGTAAGAGAATTATTGTGATAGGCCTAGGAGGAGTGGAAACCCTGTTCTGACATAGTTCCTTGAATTAAATGTCAGCAGGTCCTTCAGTATCTGCAGCTATTACAAGGTACTCAACTTTGAGCCACAAGAACAGAGACATGGTGGAGAACAAAGATGAAAGGAAAAGATCATTCATCTAAACCTAAGGAGGGAAAGGGGCAGAGGCGGTCGGGATGAAAGGATCCCAGCAGAGGGCGCCACTCTCCGTCATATAGCAGTCTGGGGCCCAAGACAACGAAGTGCTGAGGACTTAGAGGGCGGGGCTTTCCCAGGCTGGGTGTTACCCACGTGGGTCCGAAGCGGTCGCCGACTTGCGCAGGGCTGAAGTCCTGCTGCACCGCCTCCCCGTAGGTAAGCCTCTCCGAGGTTAGGAAGCTGGAGAGTGTCACCGGGCAGCTGTCCCCGAAAAGCCTGGGCAGAAACCAATGGGGGCGTGTTTGAAGCCGCCCCCTTTCCACCCGAGCGCCAGAAGACGGAACGGAAAACGCTCTCTCAGCCTAACGCCGTGAGGACTGCCTGGCAGCTCAGCAGCATATGCCACCCTCTCTCTACCCGCTGCTCCCCAGCCCTGCCTTGTTCGCGGAGGACACTTTGTTCTGCGGCCCCGGTGGCCACAAGCCTGGGTTTCCCTCCGGAAGGGAAGGGACGAGCGCGCGGTTGCGGTTTGCGGCTACGCAGACCAGGGGCCACACCTGCCGCGGAGGTTACAGTCGGTGAAGTAGGCCGGGGACACGAACTTCTGCACCCGCTCAAAAGTGGTGCGCCAATGTTTCAAGAACGGCGCTACCGCCATGGCGATGCGCCCACTTCTCTCCTGGGAAGATCCTTGGTGCTGCCGGCTCGCTGCACCGCCTAGAACCAAAGGTTCCGGCATTCAACCAGCACCTTCCTGACCCGAGCAGCTTTTCTTGGGACACCAGCAGCTTTTGTAAGATGCAGGCTTTGGGGAGCCAATCTGGTGAAACCCGGAAGCTGCGCCTTCGCAGTTCTCATCTCATTCAGCTGTCAGACAGCTGGGCAAATTGTCCTTAAATAAAACGGTAAGTTTGAGCTGTGATGTGGTTCGGTAAGGAGAGGGCTTGCCTAGGATGCAGGAAGCCCTGGGTTCATGGAGGCGGGAGTGTTAATTGAAGGATATCCGCGGTAACATAGCAATTTGAGGAGAGCCTGGGCTACTAAAGACTGAAAGCCGAGGGATATGGATGGAATCCCTGGAAGGTCCTGGAAAAAGATATAGGGCCAATCAAGAGTTAATTTGCTTTCCAGTAGCTTTACCTAACTCGAGTACTAGCAGTACCTTCATAACATGAAAGGCGCAAGGCTGCCCCCGGTGTGTTCAAACGAATCGGCAATGTATTGAGATGGGGGAAGGGGAATTTGTACCCCCGATAACCCTCCTTCTATTACATACATCACTGTTGCCCATCACCAAAATGTATTTTTTGACCTGATGAAGCAGGTCAACAAGTGCAGAGAAGTTTTAAGCCAGCCTCCAGCTTTACTGTCTACCAGAGTATCTGTAAAAATCACTACAAGAATAAACAAAGGGGAAATCTAATCAGCCTGTTTTAACGAAAATAACTGGATTTGCACTTCAAAGTCAGATTACTTAAAAAAATGACCAAGTGCTCCGGTGTGGTGGCACAAGCCTTTAATCCCAGCACTGGTGGGACAAGCAAAGGAGGCAGGGGGATCTCTGAGTTCAAGACCAGCCTGGTCTACAAAGCGAGTTCCAGGACAGCCAGGACTGTACAGAGAAACCCTGTCTCAAAAAGTCAAAAACTAAATAAAAATGGATTATCAAAAGTCATTTAAACATACCCTTCTGCTTTATGAAACCTTGACCAAAGTTACCTGTTTTATTGGTCAAAAGGACTTTTTCTCTTGAACGATCTGAAATCCTACCCTGACCTGCAGGAAGGTGCTGTTGCTACAACAATTTGGTAGCAACAACCAAGGCTGCCTCTACTCAGATCTATTTTCATGTAGGCCAGCATGGTCTTGAGGGAGCAGAGAGGTGAAATATGGTTGAGGAAATCATACTTTCAGTCTTCTGACATACTGCCTCAGCCACGGTTCTACAATGCTTTTCCATTAGGCTTTTTATTGCCTTCAAGAGTGTCTTGCCCCCTGTGACAAAAACACCTGTGTTCCCAGAACTTTGAAGTTTTGAAGTAGCCTGGGCTATGTGTGACCCTGTGTCAGATAAATAAAAGCTCACTTTGTATCTTGAAACCCCAGGAGTCAATTTTTTTTCCCTTATGGTCGTGTTGAGAATTTAAAAAACAATGTTACATTTCATGGGGGGGGGGGAAACGACTCACAGTTCCCACCTTCTACCGTGTGGGGTCCTGGGGTCCAGGACTCCATCTTAGGTCTTTAGGCTTAATGGCAAGAACCTTAACCAGCTGAGCTATCTCATTGGCCCAGGTACCAGGGATTTTTAACCAGAAAATATAACTATGAGGGTTAGTTCGTTGTTGTTCAGCAGGTCCAGGTCAACCATATTAGAAGATCCCTAAGACTCATGTGTCAATTTATATAACTTAAAAAGTGGAGACTACACAGACTGGTGTAGGCGACAAGCAGCACAGATAAATATTTGCAGCCAAGCCCAACAACCTGAGATCCATTCCTAGAACTGACTCCAAGTTGTTCTGCATATGCACACACGTGCAAGTATATACACAAAAATAAGTGTATTTTTTTTTTTTTATTTCATTTTTTGAGACAGGGTCTCTCTGTAGCCCTGGACTCACAGAACTCTGTTTGCCTCTGAGTGCTGAGATTAAAGGTCTGTATTACTGCATTTTCTTTTACTATTGCTAAGCAGTATATCCCATCCATTCCCTTCCAACTAGACACAACATTTATTCTGGCTTGGTATCTTGAGTTGTTGCCTCATTCCCAGTAAGGAAAATTAGAAATGTGAGGGAAAAACAAAACCCCTAGGAGTGCCTGTGCCTGAGTGCACTAGAATGAAGGTACTCAAGTATCAGAGGACACTTGTGGAGGCCAAAGGACCACTTTGGGAGTCACCTTTCCCTTTCCACTGTGGGGTCCAGAGATCATTCAGGTTGTCAGGCTTGTGTGGCAAGCACTTTTACCATCTTCTGATATATGTTGATTTGACAAGTGCAAATACCTATTTATTTACAGCCAAATCCTATTTGTAACCTGGAAAAGAAACTAAAGCCAGTCCCTATTTAACAATAGCTCTCTGGTGGAGGACAAGGGACTTGGGTTACGTATTTCCTTAAGAACCAAGCTTTATTTACATAAAAAAAGGAAAGGAAAAGAAAAGGGGGGGGAGGAGACAAGTTTTACATAAAAGTACTACAATGGTATCTCCCTTTGGTAAAAAGTGTAATAAATGTCTTGTACATCTCTTTATAAGTACTAAATCTGAAGCCACATAGTCCTATGGTACACAAGAAGCTAGAGCACTTATGCTAGCACATCAAAGCATATTTCCTTTAATAAAAAATTGACAGTATATACATTATTTACAAAAAAGAAAATCCAAGTTAAAATGTGTGTGTCTGTGTGTGAGTGAAGCTGGTGGATGGCACTAGGGCAGACCAGTAAGAAGCAGGTACAAAACAGTCCACGGGGGCCAAAAGAGGACTGGCTGGAATTTGGTGAGGCTGAGAACCAGAAGACGGAGGAAGGTGGGCTGCAACGGCTCAGAAACCAAATCCACAAGGTATCAATCCCAAAGCCAAACAGCAGGTCTCAGACAAACTCTAACAGGGGATCGTAGATGTGCTCAAGTGGAGATGTGGTCATCAAATGCAGTCTCCCTGCAGCCTCTTCAGGGTAGAGAGAGGAGTAGTGACCATTAGTTACAGTCCATCTGTTTTATAAATGCACCTCCATCCATCCAAAGGGTGATAGCATCTGGTTGCATGTCTAAGGTCAGGTCACAGAAGTTCTAGCTTGAGCTCTGCTGGTGTGTGCAAGCAAGCTGCCGGTTCTCTGTGCTTGCATGGACTTCATTCCCTGTTGGGCAGGCTAGTACCCTTGGGAAAAGTGCCAGTTCCAGCTTTCTAAGGTGTCTGTCCACGGTCCTGCTTGGTGCCAGGTTGCACTGGTGGCTTGAAAGGCATCTTCCTCTGTTCTTCGGTGTGTAGTACACATGCCTACACACACACATACACACACACACACACACACACACACACACACAGACACACACCTCTGAGCTACCTGTGCTGGCTCTGCAGTTAAGGGGCTTTGAATACTGTGCCGTATTTGACACGATACTTGTTAATGCTTACAAAGTGCAGAGTCTCTGTGTCACAGGTGGTGGTGCAGGGCACCAGGCCCTCTAGCCCCTCACCCATGAGCCACTTGCTGGTCTCTGCTGCCATTTCACGAGGCACATGCTCCTTGGTCCATTTATCTACCCAGGCCTGGAATCGCTGATGCAGACGCTTGCTTACACGCTCATGGGACTAAAATCAAAGTAAAAGAGAGAGAAAAGATAAAATAGGCAAACAAACCCTTCAAACACAAAAGTCAATATTCATTCATTCATTTTAAAAAGAGTCTCACTATGCAGGTCTGGCTGGCCTCAAACTCAAGAGGTCTACCTGCCTATGCCTCCTGAGTGCTGAGACTAAATAAATATGCCACCATGCCTGGCTTACTTTATGAGTACAGTGGGTATTCTGCCTACATGTGCCTGGTATTTGTGGAGCCAGAAGAGAGCACTGGATCCCCTGGAACTGGAGTTACAGACAGTTGTGAGCTGCCATGTGGATGCTGAGAATTGAACCTGGGTCCTATGAAAGAACACAGCTAGTGTTCTTAACCACTGAGCCACCTCTTCAGCCCTGTAGAGTGCTATCTTTAAAAGAAAAATTAAAATAAGGCAGGTTGGCAAAATAGCTCAGTAGGTAAAGGTACCCGACACTAAGGATAATGACCTGTATTCCACCTGAACCAGTATGGAGAGAACTGACTCCTACAGCTTATCCTCTGACCACAACACTCTCACTGTGCCATGAAGACTCAACAAAAGCAGGAGGACAAGCCGGGCGTTGGTGGCACACGCCTTTAATCTTAGCACTCGGGAAGCAGAGGCAGGCGGATCTTTCTGAGTTCGAGGCCAGCCTGGTCTCCAGAGCGAGTGCCAGGATACGCTCCAAAGCTACACAGAGAAACCCTGTCTCGAAAAACCAAAAAAGCACGAGGACATAACATTAACACAAAACAAATAAATGTAAACAAAGGGGCCCCAGTAAATCTAACAAAATTCAAAGCTTGGCCCATTGAGACTAGTGTGACCTCACCTATCCTCACACCTGCACAATGTCTTTCTCTATAGCTCTTGCCCCGAATCACTGTTTTTATTTTCAATATATGCCAATACCTTTCCTTCTCCCCAGTCTGGCATCTAACATTTCTGCTGCATAGAAAACACTTCTCATGTAACTCTTGTTATTTAGGTCTCTGGTGTCCTGTATTAGAGAAGCCACCAAGGAAATCCCACATGTCGGTTTCCTTGACCCTTTTATTTCCTCATTTGCCCAAGTTTGGGGCAGTATCCTAGCGCCTGCTGCAAGTACAAGTGAGACAGCCCTTGAAAACAGAGTTCTCACAAACAAAAGATGAGAAACTGTCTGAAAGGTAAACACTCAGAGCAGCTTTTTCAGAAAGTAACACCAGGTGTTTACCAGCTCTTGGAGGTTAAACTATAGCCCATACTCTGAAGCCTTCACCCCATACATCCATCCTTCAAAATGACATTTATTCAGACAGACAAGAGAAAAGCCATGAGTCACCCAGGAATACTAAAAGAGCACAGCAGCAACAGCTATTCTCCCCCTTAGGGGCCTCAATAGATTCCAACACATTTTGACATATAAGTCTTGGGGTTTTAAGTCTTTCTCAGAACCTCAAGATGTTGTATGTGTGGGAAGCAGGTATTTGGGGACAGTGCCAAGACCACCTTGGGTGTACTGGAAAGTGTTCTACCACGAACTACATATCCCCAGCAATTTTATCCTTTAAGTCATAATACTCTGTTACGAGA